ATGATAACTACAGCTACAGAGTTAGTGTAAAGCCGAGATCTGTTAGAATCTCCTGAAATTCAAGATAATGATACTAACAAAGAAAATAATCCCGTAACAGTAAGAATCAAAAATCTACCTGTATCATATTACAAAGAATATTCAGCAACAAAATGATACAAATCATTAACTGAAAAAAGCTATGTGCAAAATATACTTGTGGTATATGTGACAACTCAGGACATAATAGTGCAAGATGTCAAAATTGGTAGGTATTTTTTTGTTCATTCATTCATTGTTAATTTCTTTATTTACTAATCTATTTTTAAATATCATCAGGTTATGATATGCAGTATTCATTAAAAATTGGGTGACTATTTAATTGATCTTAAAACTTAATATTATATGATTTAATTAATTTATATATTTCATTCAATTAATATTTTAGGTTCTATTAAAATCTAGCAATGCCGAATTGGATATATTATTACTATAGATTGTTTTTTTTTTACTATTACATATTATTCTTCTTATAAGGACAAATATTTTTATAAATAGAATTTAAAGATTCTTAAATTTATTTACTATTAGAGCTTTATAATGAAAATTATAATTTATAATTTTAATAAACAAATGCTAAAGCTAAACTTTTTTTTTAAGATGTATTAAGACTAGTCAAAAAATTCAGATTTTAATTTACAATTTGGTATATAATTTAACTGCAATTTTACAGATATTAGTTAAAAAAGAAAATGTATCTAGAAAAGAACTAGAAAGGAGTTATTGTACAAAGATATCTATCATTAAAACTAAGGTTTAAAACTATAGTTTAGAAGGCTCTGATCAAAATGCGGTAGAATTTGGGTTGGCTCTTAGTATGATAATTATCAGTTTTAAGATAAGTGTTATTTATCTCTTTTCTTTAATTCCAACTGTATTTGATTTCTTTTCTGTTACTAATTCTATTTCTCTTCATTTTCTCTATTATGGCTAGGTTTCATGTAAATTAGTTTATGATGATCATGTACTAATCACAGGTAATTTTGATAACATAAAAAATTATTGGTAATTCAAATTTTGTTAAGAAATCCACTGTTCTAATTGGTATAACTCTTACTCTCATTGTGACTTTAGTACTGACTATGAAGTAAGATTTTTTTACTTTTAATCTTGTGTTTGTTGAATTGCCGAAGTTATTTATTTTTATATTATACTTAATCTTGAGATTTAAGTGCTTTTGTACAGAATTTAAACAAGAAGTTTATTTGATTTGAAGCAAGTTTGATAACAATATTTATAGTACAAAAATATTTTTACAAGCTATAATCTCTATTTTTTTGAAGTTTTAGATGTTGATTTTATTGAAGCAAAGGTATTAATGTCTTCATTTTCACTATATGATTTAGTATTATGGCTGGGTTTCAATATGCTTCTAATCTATGTAAATTAGTTTACGATTACATACTACTAAATCACAGATAATTTTGGTAACATGAAGAATTGTTAGTAATTCAAATTTTGACGAGGAATTCACTAATCTAATGAAAAAATTCCTGGTAAATTTTGGTATAACCCTTACTCTCATTGTAACTTTAGCAATGATTGCGTTTATTGAATTTCTAAAGTTATTTATTTTTACATTATATCTAATCTGGTGATTTGAGTGCTTTTGTACAAAATTCAAACAAGAAATTCATTTGGTTTGAAACAAGAAGTGAGTTTTTTGATAACAATATTTATGACACAAGAAAAATCTTTACAAGCTACAACCTCTATTTTTTTATAGTAGTTTTGAAGTTTTGAATGTTGATTTTATTGCAGCAGGTATTATATTTACATTTTTGCACTATTAATCATACCTTAGTAAACAAAATTCATATTTATCAAAGTACTAAACAAGATGCTAAAAATTGTTGGTCCTATTGTTAATAGCATTGGGAAGTATAGTACGTTATATGTCAAATTTATCTTCGATGGTAATTTTGAAGGAAGTATATATATTGTAAATAGATATCACTGTTGAATCTATTAAAGTAAAAATTGTAAAGGTCTGGTTTTCTTTTAGTTTTCTCTTGTTAGCAGTTTATTTACACTTTCATTTTTTTATTTAGACATGTGCAAACTTAACTATATAAAATCTGATTAACTACACCTGTTATCTGATAACTTGAGAAGTATTTTATTTTAGTCAGATTGTATATTGATATAATTTAATACTGAAGTTGCTTTTTAACTTTTAAATCAGAAATATTTTGGTTCTCTTATATAATTGAAGAAGCAATCATGAATTATTTGGACTGAATGTTCTGAAATTAAAAAAGGTCATTTATTTATTATCTAAAATTAGCAGTAAGAATGCTCTGATCTGGTAAATTAGCGGATTAGAATAATTTAAATGGAATATCTTAATTTTGTTATTGTTTTTTTTTTTAATGTTAAGGTGACTACTTTGGGGTCTGGCACATTTTATTAAACTTTGGATCTAATGCCAGGGCAGCTACAGGGCTACCTCTGACTTTGTTACATTAACGAGAATACA